GATGGGGGGCGAAGTAGGGGCTGGAGCCGGGGTCTGATGCTGGAAACGTCTCGCTCGTTGCCCTTTTTGTCTTCAGTTTCCACCCTTTGGTCCTACCATCTCCCGGCTGCCCTGCGGGCCGGCCCCGTCCTCTGCTGCTGAGGACGTCGTGCAGCTGAGTCTTTGATTTTTTTTTTTGTTTTTTTTTTTTATTTATTTCAAAAGTTTTTCAGTGGAGAGTCTGTCAGCCAAGACCTTCGTGTTTCCAGGCACGTTTAGGCAGGGTGCTCTCTTCGGTCCGGCTCTGCCGTGCTGCTGAGACACAAAGGGGAGCGGGTTTCTTCCAGCCCCTGTGAGCTGTGTGGGCGCTGGGTTGGAGCTCCCCAATAACCAGATGCCGTGAAGTGCATCCTTCCCCGAATCGCTGGGATGAGCCCCAAATGGGGGCTCCAGAGTTACTCTGGGGTCTGCTGGCGTCAGCGCTGACCTCCGGCTGACAGCGGGGGAAGCCCAAACCCCAACCTCTTTGGTTCCTTCTCCCCTCCGGGGAGCTCCTCCTCCGCTCACCTCTGCGGAAAATGGGGCATTTCCTTGGTTTAGGGGTTTTTAATTGATTTCTAGATGCCGTGCCTGGCCTCAGCCCTCTCCTGGGTACTTAGAAAACACTGGTGACTTTGTGCGTGGAAACCGGTTCTTCGTTCTCCCCCTGGCCCCTCGGATTATAAACCGCCTTTGTTTCCCCGCGGCTAGGTGTGCCGACCTCCTCCCAAAGCGCTTGGCGGTTTGCTGGTGAGGAGAGATTGAGGAAGGGTTTATGTTTCTGCAAAGCACCGAGCAGCCTCCAGATAACGTTACAGAGATTGTGTCTCCTGGGCCTTTTCCCGGCGCGTCGTCCCCAGCCTGGACGCGTCAGCGGGATCCGGTGGCTTTCGGGAGCGTCTGGTCCTGCGCCTCCATCAACAGGCTCCTGAGACAAGCGTAGGGGAGAGGAAGATGTGCTAATCCGGGGCAGTGAAGTTAGTCATGTGCACATCAGCTGCCGGCTGCTGCCGGTGGTGGGAAGGATAATCCTGAGCGGGAATCTCCAGCTCGGGGTCGGGAAGCTGAATTATCGCGCTCTCTCACGGCAGCTTTGATGCCGTTGGGTTTCACGTCCTTAATGTAAGTTATCGGAACGAATCTACTGATGCGGAGAATTTCAGAATTATTACTCGCTGCTTGGCCTTCTGGCCAAGATCAAGTGTTTGTGAGCGTTTTCCTCTGGAGGGCCGCGGTCTGCGCTGGCAGGGCGGGCTGCGTCGTCTCCCGGGTTTTCTCCCCTCTCCGGCTGCTGTTGGCTTTGAGTCCGAGTTCAGGCCAGACTTGGGACGGTTTTCCATCAGAGCTTCCTGAGAGAAGCAAATGCAACATTCAGGCTCTTATCTTCCAGAGCCGTGGAAGAGGTGGTTTTGCTTGCAAAGTTTGGACCTTTGTTTTCTTAACTAGTGGAAACAGGATTTCTTTTCACGTTTCTTTAACTTTCTTGGGGAAAATGTCTCTTGTTTCTTCAAGCAGCCAAAGTATCAGTTCACCACCACCTTTTTTTTTTTTTTTTTTTGTTTTTCCCTCGTATAGATTTCAGCTTTTTGTGCTGCTCGGTGATGTCATTTCGAAGAGGTAGATGTGTTGTGTATGTGTGCTTAAACAAAGCATGGTTTCTTCCTCTCCAGTAACCAGCAGCAACACGCCGAATTACGTAACTGCCTTGGCTTTTCAGGATTGACAAAACTTGGTGGGTTTTTCTTCCCCTAAATAAGCTGCTGCCGCTCTGGACAAAAGCTGCTGTTTTGTTGAGGTGTGTTGTGTAAGCGCTCTCCTGACATCCAAACAGCTCTCCGCATCCCTCCGCACCAGCAGGATTGTTCCAGCGCGGCTTTTCTGCTTTGGTTTCTGCCTGGTTTGCACTTTGGGGAAAAGAAATGGCGCTGCTGCTCCCGTTCGCAGCCGTGGCCTTGGATGGGGGGGGGACACGCTCATCCCAAGAGACCTTTTTTATTTAGGGTGGGGAGATTGGCAGGCAGAGGAAAAAAATGTGTTGGGGGGTTTCTGTGCGGACATGGACGTGTCCACGGAGGCTCCAACGTGCCACACGTCCTCCAGGTAGAGTTTGGTGGGTCTGAGGCTTGAGCTCACGGCTGACGTCGGTGTGTGTGGAAGCTCTTACCGCTCCTGCCGCCACCCGCAGGCAGAGGCCAAGCGAGGAGGGAGAATATTCCCATTTTTGAGCATTAATTGGGCCTGGCTGGGGAAGGCCCCGGTGCTCTCCGGCCCTGGCTGCTTGTCTGGCCGGGATGGAGCCGCGCGGGGGGCGCAGTGCATGCTGCTCTGGTGTGTCCCGGCGCTCGGCTTGTCCTGCTCACGCCCTGGAGAGTTCAGCTTGATGATGTGTCTGGGTGTGCTAACGTTTTCACTTTTTATTTTTGTCCAAAACATGAGCAGCTCAAATCTGTCTGAGCAGCTGTTTAAAAATAGAGCAGAGCGGGTAGTTGTGTCCTGGCTGTACCCCGTTCGCACGCTCGTTTGCTGGACGAGACGAGGGAGGATCTGACCCGGGCGACTTGTGACATGCCCCTTCCCCTTGAAATTCTTGTCCGAACCCTTTGCCCAGGTGCTGTAGCCACAACTTTGTAGTTTTTTTTTTTTTTCCCCGTGGTTTTGCCGTGGTCGGTAGGAGAGCACTGTCTGTCGCTGGCTAAAACGATCCCGGGCAGCACAGGCTGGCGGAAGGCAGGCAGCTATTTATTTAGGTTGATTCAGCTCCCAGTAAACAGCTCTGAGGAATGCTCTGAAACGGCCCGTAGGAATTGCTCCCAGAATCACGAAAGAAATGAAAAAGGAAACTTCTTGGGACATCAAGAAACTCGTTTTGGACAGGACTTTCTGACCTTGATCTGTTTCCTTCAGCCAGAATTAACTGTTTAAGTCTCTCAGGCCGTTTTTCCAGTTGTCAATCTGGGTCAGAATTCGGACTTTTCATTTTAAAGGTGTTTAAACAGATCCAGAAACAGCAGGTTTTTTGGAAATGGTTTTATTTTGTTACGTTTATGCCACTGGATTTAACACCTTCGAGCAGTGTGTGTTCGGGGCTGGGGGGGGGACACAGAAAACTGCCTTGACGCAGCAACAAAAAGAGGCGGAGATAACTGAAACGTTTTCACGTGGAAACCTCGTGAGTTTTGCTCTCCGGCCTCGGCTGGTAACGCTGTTGGTAACGGAGAGAGCTTGTTTTTGCAGGAGGACGCGCCACAGACCTGTCGGCGGCGGCAGTCGGAGCCGAGCAGATCTCATCAGCCGCGCGTCCGTCCTCGCGCTGGGGCGCGAATCGGGGTGTTGTGTCCCGGCCGGGCAGGAATCGCCTCTTTCCCAACCAGCAGCAAACTCGGGTGGAAACCA